TGAAAGAAAAGACGAAAACACAAATGATCCTGTCTCAAATTCAGGTTACTGAAAATATAATGACGCGATGAAGATAGGGTACATAAAAGTCATGAAGCGCTTGAAAACTTGAAATGTGAGGTATAAACATCAAAGAAACTTGGAACAGTCTGTACTACACAGCAGCATAGTGGTTAAGAGTGCAGGCCCCAAATCAGACAACCCGGGTTTCAATGCCTGCTCAGCCCCTACTGCCTGTGTGATTTTAGGTGACTAACTTAACCTATTTGTGCCTCAGTTCTGCCATTAGTGAAAATGGGGACAACAGCACCTCATGGAGTTGAGGTGAGGCATATTTGAGTTAATACATAAAAGTACTTTGGAGCTTTTCTGGTGCATGCTCCAAACACTGTAATTATCATTAGTATGCCTACAGTAACACACCTTGTGTGTGTGTTTTATGATGTTCACCTAACCAGTGAATTAAAATGCCAGCATTTGCACGCACCTGCAATCCCAGCACTCAGGAAGCTGAGGCAGGAAGATCACCTCAAGTTCAAGGCCAACCTGAAATTCATAGCAAAACCCAATCTTAAAAAAAAAAAAAACTAAAATGCCAGCTTTTTCTCCTTATTCTCCTTAGTCTCAAAAAGATGAAGTGTTTATACATCTTTTGTTTTAAATTCAGGGGTTTTCCCCCAGCTTTGAGCATCGGATCTAATACAACCTGGAGAAGTACACATTCCAACTGTGGTTCCGAGAGCGAAACAGATGTGACCCACTGATTTCTGACCCTTCCTGACAATGGCTGGAAGAGACCAGTACTGCCCCTGTGTTTGCCTTCGCCATCACTGTTCATGTTTGACCAGCACCTGTGGTCGCAGGCATGAACTTCTCAAGACCTGTGAACCTCTTTGTTTTCAACTCCATTGGAGTAGAATTGCAATTATAGCTAATGGGTTCTGAGCATCTACCAGACGCTAGGTACTTTACTATTGGTATTTTGAATCTTCACATTTGCCCTTAAAGCCTCTAATATTATCTTACTATAACATCAGGTAAAAAGAAGGGAGCTAGAGTTTATCTTTGGTACACTGGGGACCCTGGATTCCAGGGGTTCTGATGGCACAGGATTTACGGCATGGGTTCTACAGAGATGTGCACATAAAACAACCCATGGGAGAACCAGAACACTAGCTCACAAAGTGCCCTGCCACCTCTCTCCCTTATTGTGGGCTCCGCAGTCCCCTGAGCCCAGGTACAGCGTGACTGTCTCTGGAGACCTCCAGGTTATTCCAAGATGTTTGCTGGAAGACCACTGGACACTGAGCCACGGTGCCAGGCCAGGCAGGAGATCCACTCAGTTTGCATAGAGGAATGGCTCCTGTTCTGTCCCCACACGTTTTGCAAATTTTCAGGGAAGCAAACTGAAAATTTTATTTGGCTCAAGACATTTCAGCCAACCAGATTGCTGCGGTAGGCACTTGAAGCCAGTGTCCTAAATCTAAATAAATAATCAATTAGTGTTCTTGGTGGGGGGTACTGGACCTTCACAGTAAGTCAGCTCTCCAGCTCTGCCTCCCTTTTTTGAGCTAGGTACCTAAGTTGCCCAGGCTGGGCTCAAATTTGTGCTGCTCCTGCCTCAACCTCCCAGAGGTTGTAGGTGTTGGACCTACAGGATTGCGCTGCTACACCCAGCTCTCAGTTATCGCACTTGCTTAAACAGAAGTAGGGAATAGATGACAGAAAGTAATAAAAGTGTTTCCTAAAGCAGAGGGCTGCATTTCTTTTTGCTCAACAGGTAATGCCCACTACCTGGTATAAACACCCCTGTGTTGCCCATATAACCAGTAGGAAGGCAACACATACGTAACTAAGTTAAACATATGGATACTATAACAACAACGGTAGTAGTAACAAATGTAACAGTAAGTCCCACACGTTAAATGCATTCTGCTGTGCTCAGGACTACACTGATGTCCTTACATACATACTTCACATTTAATTCTCATGTTGCTCTTGCATGGTAGGTAAATAATGGTTTAATCATTATACAGAGAGCTACATTGAGGTGTGCAGAACCTAATGATTTTCCCAGGGTCACCCAGCTGGTCACTGATAAAATAGGGGTTTGAAACCTGGCCTAAGGGATGGGAAAGCCGGGTCTTTTCTGTTATATCTACAGTATGAGAGCCGTGTGAAGTTTTGACACTTCTCTTTCCTGTGGCCTTCTTGCTTTTCCTAGGCCCTGGATAGAAATCTTGTTAGTCTTGTCTGATGAGTGCGAAATGTATTATCACACTGATTCTTTTTATAGATAGTCAGCTTCCCTTCATACTCTATTTTTCTTTGTTTTCTTTTTTGCTGTGCTAGGGACTGAACCTAGTGGTGCTCTACCACTGAGCTACGTGCCCAGACCTTTTGTATTTTATTGTGAGGCAGGGTTTCCCAGGCTGGCCTCCCACCTGTAGTCCTCCTGCCTCAGCCTCCCAAGTAGCTGGGATTACATGCGTGAGCCACACCACACCCAACTCCATTTTACTTTTAAGCCTCTTTTTTATTAGATTTACTTCTCAGTTTCTAAAAAAACAAAATAGAATGGGCTTTCATTCATGGTAGTCTTTGTGCATTAAGAGATTCTTCAAAACTTAGAGTAAAAGTAAAACAGGGAGAGGAGTTTACCATCAAGACCCAAGGCCTCTCCCAGGATTGCCAGGCTTGGCCCCAAGCTTATGGTGTGTCCTGGGTTCCAAACCTGAAAGGACAGCCGAATACCAGGCTGGTCCAGGTGCAGACTCCCTGCTCCAGAAGCAGTGGCATGGATGGAGAGTCGAGGGAACAGTGGGGAGAGGCGGCAGGAAGAGGAAAGGCGCACAGAGCTCATCCTGCTGATTGGTGGCGGGACTTCGTGAGCCCTGCGTGAAGCAGGCAGGAAAGACACAGAGGGCCTGCAGGAGTGAGACCCAACCCAGAACTTACTGTGTGTTTTACCTTGTTCCAAGCGGCTTGTCACAATCCACGGCAGCATTGCTCACCTATTTTCTGTCTTTTTTTCTCCTTTGGAGACAAGAGCTCACTATGTTTCAAGCTGGCCTTGAATTTACTGTGTAGCCCAGGCTGGCCTTGTACTCGGGCAATCCTCCTGCCTCAGCCTCCATGGTGCTGAGATTACAGGTGTGCATCACCACACCCAGCTGTCCCTGTTTTCTGCAGTCTGTTCTACTGAGGGTTTAATATCTCCCTGGTTTAGGAGGTCAGAAGTTAGTTTCTTAGATGCCAGAGACACAACCTAGGTGTTAGTAGAAGGCTGTCTCACTGTCATAGACTCCCTTCTCAGAGATGACTAACCTTTGAGACTGTTCCTTATTTGGTGTCGATTGAACTGTTAGTAAAGCAGTTGCGAAGAGTATCTGTCTTGGCTTACATTTGAATGGAACATCTTAGCCAGTAATACAAGTGACAGACACAGGTAACCTCAGCTAAAGTAAAATGTTACACAGTCCTCCTCTCTATTAAAAATACTTGCAGCTGGGCGTGGAGGCACATGCCTGTAATCCCAGCACTCGGGAGGCTGAGGCAGGGGGATGGCTGAGAGTTCAAAGTCAGCCTCAGCTAGATAGTGTGACCCTGTCTCGAAGAAAAGATGGCTGACAGCACTGTAGACTGTCTTGTACTCCTCACGTTGTTTGGTTCAGTTTAGATGACACTGGTAATACTGGGGACTGAGTCCAGGCCTTAGTTCGTGCTAGACAAGTGTGCTATCATCGACTCTACCAAGTACTTCTTGAGTATTTTTCTTTCTATATATTTTGCTTATAAAATGGCTTTGTGTTTACTCAGTATCTTACTCTGAAAGCATTTAAGAGTTAAAATACCCAAATTTCAAAAGTTCATACTATTCTCCCTAAAGAGAAATGTGCAGTGAAATAGCAATATATACATGTATGTTATTAAAGTGTTGAGAATTAATTCACCGAAGTTCTCTATCTGTAATTTCTTTACCCTGAACCTCCTAAAAACTAACAGATGACTGCCTCAAAATGGTCACAAATTGAACGTGTCACCTAAAAGCCACTATTTTTAGTACCTGTACATTTTTAAAACAATTATTACTGCAGTGATAATTAAGGGAGGAGTATTTCTCATCAGAGTCTGTCTGCACTAAAGCAATCATGTAAGCTTTGTGTTCCTTCCTAACTTATCCAATGCACAAACCTAGCTCCATTTATATATCACCTACCTTCTAATGGCTAATTATCTTGATTCTAGCATTACCTCAAATACAAGAGGACCATTAGTGAGCTTAGAACAGTAGGATTTGTTTCCATTTTGCAGTGCTGGGGATGGAACCTAGAGCTTCAGACATGCTAAACAAGTTGTCTTTGTTACTTTTCTCTGGTGGTTGAGGCAAAATACCTGATGCCCAAAATTACAGAAAGGAAAGTTTATGTAGCTCACAATCTGTGCAGGTTTCAGGCCATAATCAGCTGGCTCCAAGGCAAAGGGGCACATGGCAGAGGGCAACAGTTCATGGCCGTGGAAGCAGCAAAAGCAGCAAGAGCACGCCTCTTTCCACCCCTTATATTGTATGCAGGGCGGTGCAGAACTCACACGGCCAATCCCAGCACTAGACAATGAACCAGTTACAAACGCTAGATTCAGCCACCTCCAAAAAGCCCACCCCCCATGACCACATTGGCTTTGGGGGGCACACCCAGACACAAACCATAGCACAGGTGCTGCAGTGCTGAGCTACATCCTCAGCCCTGAATAGCGCTTCTTAGCTGGAAATACGTTTGGGGAGGTTTTTAAAATCCCAGTATCCTAGCCACCCCACAGGCTAATGAGTTCAAAATTACTAGGGATGGAACCTCGTCCTCAGAATTTTCCAAAACTTTCCAGGTGATTCCAATGAGCAGCAAAGGTTGAGAACCAGAGGTTTAGAAGAAATTCTACTTGACAAGCAGAAGCAAAACACCCAAGTGAGGTTTCTGATCTCACTGTGGCATATTTATTTTCAGGTGTTCCGGCACGGAGACAGAAGTCCCATTGAAACCTTTCCTAATGACCCCATTGAGGAATCCTCCTGGCCAGATGGGTTTGGGCAACTCACTCAGGTTGGTCTGTGACTTTCAGTTAAAGTTGCAATAAGGCTTCAGGGAAACATATACAGAATTATCTGCTTTGACAGGTTTTTCTTTTTTTTAAAACCTTGTTGGCTTTATTCAAACATGAGAGATGTACATGAACAATAGAATACACAAGTTAATGCTGAAGAGAGCTAGGAAAAGACTTCTAAGACAGCTCCTGAGTTTTTCAGGCTTCACCTGCAAAAAGGAGCAGCGGGAGGAAGAGTCTGCTAATCAATAAGTTGAATGAATCCTCAGGGTTGAGGAAACATAACTCTTTGGGAGATGATGATAGCAAAATTTCATTTCTTGTCAGCTGGATAGATTGAATTGGAGCTCCCTTATAAGCCAGCAGTCCCCGACCTTTTTGGCACCAGTGACCACTTTTGTGGAAGACAATTTTTCCACAGGTCAGGATGATTCAGGGGCATTACATTTATTATGCACTCATTTCCATTATTATTACATTGTGTACCTTATTTCTATTACAATTACATTGTGTACTTTATTTCTGTTATTTTACACTAGTCTCACAAAGAGCGTGCAGCCTAGGTCCCTAGCACGCACCATCCACAGTAAGGTTCCCGCTCTGGTGAGAATTCCGTGCCTCCCCTGCTCCTCCTGGAGGCAGAGCTCAGGTGGTGATGTGAGGGACAGGACTGGCTGTGAGCACAGAGGAGGTTTTGCTTGCCTGCCCCACTGCTACCCTCCTGCGGTGCAGTCCAGTTCTTAACAGCACCTGGACTCTCTGGGGCCCCCTGCTAGAAGTGGTTTGGTAAATACAAAGAGCCCTACTTCCTAAAGCATCTACACAGAAGGTGAACTGGGCCAAAGGCATCTTAGTCGCTATTCCAGGGCCCACCCACCTCACCTGAAAGACTGGATGGCACCAGAGATGAACCGTTTACTTAAATCAGGTCAATCACCAACTATCAACCGAGCACTAAGTGCAGGTCTCTATCAAGTGCTAACAAAGGTGAACGGGTATGTATTCTCCGGGGGCCAGAGTCCTGCCTCAGAATCACAGCTTTCTTTTCCTGTGTTCATTTAAATATGTATTTTAAGGTAGAACTATTGAATCACACCTTGTTCACCCCACATGTACAAAGAGCAGAAATGGCACAAATTTCTTTAATAATGTGATTCATGCTTTTCCTAATTTTTACTTTTTTGTTCTATAGCTGGGAATGAAACAGCATTATGAACTTGGAGAGTATTTAAGGAGAAGATATGGAAAATTCTTGAATGAGTCCTATAAACATGAACAGGCAAGTTGGGGAGACAAGGAGAGAAACTTTGGCTCTTGAAAGAATTAGAATAATTCTGCATGTGTAAAAATGTTTTGCCTATTTTCCAATAAACTTATCCAGTCAGAGATATTATTTATACATATACTTCTCATTGTAGAATCTTTTCATAAAAATGTATGAATATGAGTAAGTTCAAAACTGTACAGGCACCTGTGTAAACAGTGTGACTTGACAGGTCACTGCTTGATGGGTGTCATTTGTCAACCCCGCTGTCGGCTGCTAGGTTGCTCTGTCCACGGTGTGCCCATAATGTTCCCTGTCCTGTAGCAGAGAGTGTGCCTGTGAACTTCCCACAGAGCCTGCTAATAGCTCAGTATGGACATCCTGCTCTTTTTCTAATACCTGTCAGCTGCTCAGAAAGAAATCCCACATTTCCTCTAATTTGGCCTCTGCCTTGATTTTCTCACTCTAGGTTTATATTCGAAGCACAGACATTGACCGGACTTTGATGAGTGCGATGGCAAACCTGGCAGCCCTGTTTCCCCCCGGGGGCATCAGGATCTGGAACCCCAGCCTGCTGTGGCAGCCCATTCCAGTGCATACAGTTGCTGCCTCTGAAGATCGGGTCAGTATATAGGGAGGTCCTGGAGACTCCACGGGAGCCAGGAATGTGGGAGGTGCGCTGCTCAGACTTGCTCAGAATCTGGGAGTCTGACATGTGTGGGCTGGGAAGTCTTATCTTATTGTTTCTTAAATAAAGGTGCAAGGGACAACATAGGACAGGGAAAGCCCTAGACACGATGCAGAACTCAGTTTTTCTTTGGCTACCATCTCCTTTGTTTTGCCACCGTTTCAGCCTTTGTCAGTTCGCTCCTTTCCATCCTTATATCATAGGTAAGCACGCGCGTGGCTGCTGGTGCTCTGCCTCAGCCCCCTGGACTTGGTGCCCAATAGTACTTTCTTTTGCTCCAGAAAAGATCTCTCTTCCTGTCAGACACTGTCCAAGCCTATGAACATCTGCATTCCTAGACAGAGGAAAACAATACTGGAGTGTGTAATTGGTGCCCAACATCTTATATACGTCATCATTGTGCTCGCTTCGGCGGCACATGTGCAATATACACCATCGTATTAACTTTTCGTAACAGCCTTAAGGATAACAGGATTGTACTCTTATACAGCAAGGGAAAAAGGTTTCCAGAGAAATTAAAGAACAGACAAAAGTGGTTTAAAGTCACATAGCTAGGAACTACCCATTTAGAATCAAAAGTAGGCCTTTTGTACCCGGGAGCAATCTTCTTCCATAAGTTGTATATTAGAACCACCTGAGAGTTTTCAAAACTGCTGATGCCCAGGGCACTGCTCATAACAAATAAGAGTTTTTGAGGGTGGAACCCAGGCATGAGTATTTTAAAAGTAGTCCCCCTGGAGGGCTCCATGGACAGCCAATTTTGAGAACCAGGACCATAAACCACGCTGCCGGAATGGGGCAGAGAGGGACTCTTAAACTTATTTACATAGGGTAGGACTAACCAAGAACACTTTGACTTTTTCAAAGGACTTGACATATTTAAAATAGTAAAAACTTTCCAGGTGTGGTGGGGCATACCTGTAATCCCAGCTCTCGGGAGGCTGAGGCAGGAGGATCACCATAAGTTTGAGGCCAGCCTGAACTACCTCATGAGACCTTGTCTCAAAACAATAAATAAATAGACAGAGTAGTAATAAATAAACCTAATCTCTCAGTGTGCCACTTAAGGCTACATGAAAAAAATAGTTGGGACGGAGACTAATTGCTCTGCAGTCACGTGACTGGCACAGGCATCGGTCTTGGCCCGCTTTCTTTTTCTACACCTGGGCAGCACGGACAAGCAGCTTATTTAGAAAAATACAGGTACATTTGAGGATCATTCTGGAGGCTGGGACACCCAAGAGCACAGTGCCAGCACCTGCCCAGGACCTGGGGAGGCCCTTCGTGCGGGGTGGTGACATGGCTAAGGGAGACCACAGTGAAACAGAACGAGTGTGCAAGAAACTCTCACTTCTGTACCAAAGCCACTCATGTAACGACTCACTGACTTAGGAGTGCATGCACCCCCTCCAAGAGGCCGGGCTCTCCATGGCTGGAGGCTCAGTGTGGACCCAGGGTCTTGCCCAGTGACCTCTAGGCTACATTCCTGTCCTCTCTGCTCCATGTTACTCCCACATATTTGTTTTGATTGCTTCATCCAATGACTTAGAAATTTTTCCCAAATGTTTTGTAGCATCCATCCTTCCCTGTCAACCCCACTCAATCTATATAGTGTATATTATATACATTCCTTCAGAATCAGGAGTGAAGTATTATCAGTATTCTTAAAATGTTGTGAATATTTCCTTCCAAAAAGAAAAAAAATTACATTTACCACAATCTTTTCTGGAACGATAAAGACTGGATAGCAACACTAAATTTAGCCTGTGTAGACTAAGGGATCTATTTAACCTGAAATACAGAAAAGTAGTAATTACATTATATAATAAAGAGAATACAGGCTATTAGAGAGGAAAAGAAATAGAAAGTGAGGGAGAGGGAGAAGGAAACAAGCAAGATCATCCACCTATTTCCTGCTACCTGCTTGCTAAGGCAAACAAAATTCTTTAGTTAAGAAATCTAAGAAAATCAGAGCTGGGCTTCATGGCGCACACCGTAGTGCCAATACTTGGACATCTGAGACAGAGGATGATTGTGAGTTCAAGGCCAGCTAAAACTATACAGCAAGACCCTGTCCAAAACCAAAAAGTCTAACAAAATCAACAAGGTTATTCCCAGATCTGTGCTCAGTGCTATAAAGAAATATAAGAGAAATATGTAGCCAAGTTTCTTCTTAATTTATGATCTGTTTGAGGAAAGAAAATTAGCACATGTGAAACATGTAGAACACATTGCAAGATGGTAGGCAATGATTTCAAGTACAAGCTGTACTTGCTGGAGGAATTCAGACACCTGTGTAAAGCTACCTCAGGGCTATGGCTCAAGTCTTCATAGAGTAGGAGCTGGAGTCGTACCTCTAGGGTGCGAAAAGAGAGGAGTCATACGTTCTTCTGTACTGCACACCTGGGATGAGCCGTGCTTCAAGGCATTTGCCTGACAAAACCTTGCAGGGAAAAAACACTACACCCTCAGAGAATACCTGTAGACACAGTTCAGGAGTGAGGACGTGAAGGCCTGGAATTAAATGGTAAAAGATGTCACAGGAAGGAAAGCAAGGTTAGACAAGAGATAGAATCAGAAATGACAGGAAGCAACTTATAAAATAAATGTTTTTGAAAGGAATTAGGTGTGTTATATACATGTACCAACTTCCCCCCAGAAATGTAAACATTATGTACTATGCATGTGTACTAATAAACTAGAATTTCTAAAAATGTTTTCTGAGTAGATACTAAAATGCCAGCACTATTCGAGATGTAGACAGTATGGCAGGGAACAAGAAAGACAAGGTGCTCATTCTCTTGGGGTTATATCTTATAGAAAATAGATAATAAAGAAAATCATTCTGATGGTGACGAGTTCCTTGGAGGAAGCAAACAAGTTAATACGGTAATTGCTGGGGTGAGGTGTCTGGAAGAGCTGAGGTGGAGCAGGACGGGGCTGGGGAAGAGATGTTCTAGGCAAGGAATGGTTGGTACAGAGGCCCCAAGCCTCTGTATGGGGGACGTGTGGAGAGCCAGGTGCGGCTGGTCAGAACGAAGTAAGAAGGATAAAGTAGAGAAGGACGGGAGAGAGCTCCCTGGGGCCGACCTCATGTAGACTCTTGCAAGCTATGATGATTTCAGGTTTTATCTTGGGTAAAATGAAAAGCTCATGAAGTCCGGGGACTACAAAATGGCCTGATCTGATTGATGCCATAAAAAGATAAAAATAAAAAGAAACAGTGTAGCTGCTGTGTAGAGAATGACTTGTGAAGGTGTTACCCACTTCTGACCCCAAACTGGATCCTTTTCCCTCTCAGAATCGTGGAACCAGAACCCAGACGGAACACCAGCTGAGCAGCACAGAGACTTTTACTTTTGGCCAACAATAGAAGTGGGAGAAAGACGTGAATATCAGCTTCCTGACACGCTAGGGGTCAGGAGTGAAAGAAATGAGGGAGAGGGAGAAGCTAGTAAAGAGAAGAAATATCCCTGTCTTTTCTGAGAAGGAGCAGAGGTTTCCAGGAATCTAGGTGCCATCTCTTTCTTTTCATGGGTCTTTCCTGTTCTTGGCATGGCACTGGGGAGGTGTCATTTAGCACACAGATGACATTATGATGAAGTTAGAAGTGCTTGCGGGCCACTCTGGCACCAATCTTAGATTCAGTCGGTTTTAGCTGGCCTACCAGAAAAGGAGCTTCTGGCTTGTAGGGACCCCGGCCTCCAAGGTACACAAGATTAGGGCGAAATAGAAATTGAAACTAGGTCATGTAGGTAGCAGGAAAGGGTGTCAGGTGACTAAGAGGGAAGCGGCTGAAACACAGATGCGGTGACTTAGGAGATGATGAAAATAAAGAAAAGTGGCCTATTGTAGGTATATTTCAAAAGTAGACAAGAAAAAGTAGTCTATGAAGCCGGTTTATAAATTTTGCCATTGGCAAAAGAAGAGAAATTGCCAAGAGGCACTGGTCACAAACGAAAAAGTTGAGTTCAGCTTCGTATATGTTAAATTTAAGATCTTCAGCTACCAAACATTCAAATAGTGCTCCTCACCAAGGGCTGGAAATCCAGGACAAGGGAAAGTAAAAGCAATGAAACACATGTGTGTGTGTATCTATGTATGTGCGATATTTGGGATTGAACCCAGGGCCTTCATACTGAGCTACATCCTCAGCCCTTTTCTCAATTTTTTGAGATAGGATCTTGCTGAGTCACTGGGTTTAAATTTAAAGCTGGGTTTAAACTTGTGATCTTCCTGCCTCAGCCTCCCAGAGTGCTAGGATTACAGGCATGTGCCACCATACCCAGCTAACAAAATATACGAGGGAGTCACCAATTTACAGATTATAGGTAAAGCTACAATAGATTATGAAACTTAAACTCATTTTAAGATTATCAGTTTGTCCTCTGAATAGGCTTTAATTATATTTTCCGTACACTTAATATACACTCTCATTTTAACAGTCTGCACATTTTCGAGAACTGAAGCCAACGCAGTTAGTTGATGTCCTAAGCTTGTTTCCAGAACCCCCCATATTCTCGTGGAGAAGCAGGGTATACACCGACATGCACCAAATGCCGGAAATGAAGGGCTTGGGGAGGAATCAAAATAACAGTTATTCGTACAGAAAACCACCAGTTGTGGATATTTACCGACAGCACATTTCCATTTAGGCCAGTTCATGAAAGGAAAGCAGGGGGAGAGGTTTCAGATATAAGTGTATATTCTACTACTTTAAGACCTGCTGACCATTCGTCTTGTTCCCTCTGATTTTAGAATTTCCATTTAGCTCAAAGAACATTTGAATTGTCTGCTAAGGTTGCTTTAGTCCTAATGAGGCTTGGGCAGCTTCTTCTTTCTCCCCCCAGATCATGCTCTTTATTAGTACGTGTTTGTAGCGCGTAGTGTTCAGCCTCCATGTGTGGAGCTGGTGTTTGTATATGACAGCTTGTAATTCCTCTCCCACCCCTCCCCCACCCTCCCTTACCCGCAGCTTCTTCCGCAAGGTTCTTCCAGCTAACCACGGTGTAATGACTCTTTTGTCCCCAGCTGCTCTACATGCCTTTCAGGAACTGCCCTCGTTTTCAAGAACTTCAGAGTGAGACTTTGAAATCGGAGGAATTCCAGAAGAGGATTCAGCCGTATAAGGTAAAAAGTGGTATTGCTGAGGGGTGCAACTGAGTGTGAGAGGCAGGACAAGGCGTGATGCTTCAGCGGTTCCTCCTCCTTTGATTATTTTCTGAGACAGAATCTTACCACATGTTCCAGGCTGGCTTTACTCTGTAGCCCAGGTTAGCCTCGAACTCAGGATCCTCACATCTCAGCCTCCCAAATCCTGAGATTATAAGCACGCACCACCACGCTGGGCTAAGCCTCAGCTTCTAAAGCATGGGGTGAGCATGTCTGTCAGCAGCTGATTACAGCAATGGCTTTGAACGGTGATGGCTTTCAATAATACAACAGCCCGCCACAGCACCCATAGGTTCACCACCACAGCTTAGAATGCTGCCTGAGGGAAGTTGTCACTGCCCTTTACAATGGCTACAAACCAACAGAGAAGCCAGTCTTTCTCAGATTTGTTCCTGTGTCCCTGACAGGAACCAGGAACAAGGGAGTCCTTATCAAGACTGAAGCACTGGGCTTTTTCTATACTCAGAACAGGCTTCCTAAAGCTGGACATGGTGTTATATGCCTATAATCCCAGCATTTAGGAGGCTAGAGGATCACAGGAAATTTGAGGCCAGCCTAGGCTATGTAGTGAGTTCACAACCAGCCCAAACTACATAGTGAGACCCTGCCTCCAAAATAAAAAAACAAAAATAAGACTTTTTGTTTTTGTTTTATGAGCTATCTCCTTCACAAAATGAGATGCAAAGCTTTATATTTTTTAAAAGCTAGTCTTTTGAATCAGTTATATATTTGGTACAAAAACCAGAACGAATACAAAGAAATATAGCAAAAGTCTCTCAAGGACCTCATGGGTAACCACTGACATTATTTTCCATATAATTTCTTTATACATATACAAACTGATGCAAATATATTCTGAGAGTTTCCTAATTCATTACTATAGCACGAGGCACTTTGATTTTTGTTATTCTTGTTGCGTTTGTCTTTCATTTATAAAATGTTGTGGACATATTTTTATTTCTGTATACAAAGAATTTCCATAACCTTTCTTTTTTTATAAATGTGGTGTATTTGAATTTGTGAATGCACCATAATTTATTTAATCAGCCCCTGCTGATGAAAATATGGGTCATTTCCCATCTGTCATTTTTACAGTCTTCCTGAATACCTTGCGAATTGATGTAATTTCACAGTAACATCTATGCAGTAGTATACCAGAAGTAGAAATTCTGGTTTTCTTTGAAAAAATATCAAATTCCCCCTCCAAAGAGGTTGGGTCAATTTCTATTCTTATCAGGCCTGCAAGAGGCCTGTCTCTCCAATCTTGCCACTGATATGTAGGCAATGTTGGGAGAATTTGCAAACCTGGTAAGTGGGAATGGCGTCCCTGGACAGTCCTCTCTAAGGTCAGGAACGAGACAGGGAAGACCACTGTTATCACTCTTATATAACATTGTGCTCTGCTGTTTTTCTTACAAAAACTTGGGTTTCTTCATCCACTTAAACATCACTTGTATTTTTTCTGTTCCTATCCCTTTATTATTTTTCTTTTGAATTACTGGTTTTCTTTTTTCTATAAATCTTAGACACTTTATATATATGTGTATATATATGCATATATATATACATTTTGTTTGTTTTTTTTTTAATGAGACAGGGTCTCACTGTAGTTCAGGCTTGCTTTGAACTCACTGTGTAGCCCAGGCTCGCCTCAAGTTCACAGCAGTCCTCCTGCCTCAGCTTCCAGAGTGCTGGGACTATAGGCAGTGCCACCATATCTCGCAGTCACTATGTATTTTAATAGTCCTGCCTGCAATATGAATGGCATTTGTTATATAGTATATGTATTGCTGTTACATGTATTTGCCTATTGACTTTGCTTATGCTATCCTGTCAACGTAGACTGTATCTGTAGCTATATATTCTTCAGTGGCTTCTATATCTTGAGTTCCTTGTTTACTAACTTATGAAGGAAGTCTGCAAGGCTTTCTTTTAATGCTATTACAGCTTCACTTTTACTTTTTTTCACTGTTGCATCAATTTACAGTTGGTACTGGTGTGAGTTTTGGTTTTTTTTTTTTTTTTTGGTTTTGGTTTTGGTTTTTCTCCGGTACCGGGAACCGAACTCACGACCTTG